GAAATGAACGATTAATAATATATCGTTACTGACAGCAAACAAACGTAAAAATGATGCCACATATGGCCCAAGTATCATTTAATACAGAGTCCTAAAATTTCTGTGGCAACAGACTGCAACACTTTAAAATTCATGGCGGCCTGGAGAAATCTGCTAATACAAAATGGCAGCGCCATTGTGACACGTTTCTGAACCAGTCCCAGCCATCCGGAATCATCCTCACAACTAGTTTCTCTATTTAGCTTCGTATATTTTAGTCAGTTGGCCGCAGTGGCCACGCGGTCTGAGGCGTGGATGTTTGTCCGCGTCTTCCTGTGTTTGTATACGTAGAGGCCTTGCGTCGGGCTGATCACTCATCCAAGGAACCCTACCATTGTCCAAATAGATCAAAAATTAATAAATAAAAATAACCACGACACACTTTAGTCACAGTAGCAGCTTTCCGAACCGAGATTTGAACCAGAAACCTCACGAAAACAAATGAGTCGGTGATAATTCTAGACCGCGATGTTTGGCTTATAATAGTTAATTCAGTTAAGTTTATTTCTTGCAGAGCTTGTCGACAGAAAAAAGCCTATACAAGATAAACAATAATACACATAATAGACAACACAATAACACATTGAAACAATACGAAATAAATTACATAATTTCAAGTACAGAATCGCCAAGAGAGAAAACATTTTTATTTCAAAAGTCCAGAAGCCTTAGTGCACTGCCTTCACTGAAGGTGTGAAATCTTCAATTTGCCTTGCAGGCATGCAAATAATACCAAAAATTCATTTTGGACTGATAATTTTCCCCGTAAAACATCATCAATACGAAATTAGGCGTTAAGATGTCATCTGGAACAGTCATACAACTTTGAAACAATTAAAAATCAAATGTCCTTGAAATCTGAAACTAAAAAAAGGTTAATGCTGTTTAGCAAAGTTCTTTCGCATGTTTCAGAGTGACCGAAAAAATAACCTGCCATGGCTTGAGTGGGATTCGAACCCAAGCGGCACAAGGCCCACGCCTCAGACCGCGCGGCCATTGCGAACCCCGTATATAAAACAGATATTTTATGTAATATAACTAATAAAACCTTTCATTTTGTATGTCTCACACTGGCATAATCAACATGATAGTGAAATAAAATTTACTATTTAACATAACACCAAAGTCAGTAACCAGTACGCAAAAATAAAACATCGTGAAAATAGTAATTGAAATGGAAAGCTATTAGTATTACGGTCCCTCGCCGTAGCCGCGCGGTCTGAGGCATCGTGCTTCGGACCGGCGATACGGAATGCGCGCTGGTTCTCATGAGCTTTCGAACAGTGCCAACTCAGCATCGTGAGGAAATTGGGGAGCTACAATCTGGTCATGAAGGCTAGCAATGGCTGGGGGTTCGTCGTGCTGGCCACACGTCACTCTATATCTGGTTGGATGATCGTTCACCTCTGCTTAGGCATGTGAACGT